GCTCACAGTGTGTGTGTGTGTGTGTGGGGGGGGGGGGGGTGTGTCCATATTTTAAAGTGAGTTTTTTTTTTGATGTAAGAGAATCAACATGCCCAGTACTTTCATTTAAAACTGAATAAAAACCACAACAGGTCAGTTGGGCTCACATTTGTCTGAAATAGTTGAAATTTGAGAAATGAGCTAACTTTGGATGCTGACTTCCCTCATCTTTATAAATGTGATTTTTATGGTGTAAAGTTACCCCGTCAACATGAAGACGTACAATCACAAGAAAAGACACTCATTTGAACATGTGGACAACTCCCCCCCCCCCCCACACACACACACACACACTGTGAGCCCCCTGTGCAGAGCTGTAACTGTGATTAGACAATATACATTTTAATGATGACCTGTAGATCACATCTTCTTTAGTCTACCCTTCAAGGTATAAAAACTCCACAATACAACACACATGACAACATATGTCTTAATGAAAGCTAACATTGGAGGATATATATGTTTTTTTAATTATACAGGTTTTGTTTAGTGTGACACAAGTGAACTTGAGGTCAGGTTTGGCATACATCACCTGCCATATATTAGTTTTAATAGCAGATCCCCACTCAGACTAGTGAGCTCCTCATGCCAGGCAGGAATGAAACGGTATTAAAAATGATATACATGCACACGGCAACACTGCAGTCCCAAGCCCTGTTTAAAAAAGACTGCAAAAAATTAAAAATAAAAAAAAACCCAACCTTGAATCTGCTGTAGTTTCCATCCACTGTTACCGACTGGCTCTAAGATTATTGTATCTCAGCGACACACATTTCAGTGCAAACACTTCAGCTTTGAGCATGAAACCAGTAACATATACAGCGGTGAGTACACAGATGTTCGTTTGGACTGACCTCTGTCCAAAGAAATGGTGTAGCACATATACTGTCTGTTGTGTCAGAAGCTCCGATAAATGGAAAAGTATGAGCAGCACCAACAGCACTCTTCTATTCGCCATTGTTACCAATGTTCATATACTCACGCCAGTGCAGAAAAAATATTGATTTCAGCCGCACACAACTTTCACACAACTGTTAGGTCTTTCCAAAAACTTCAACTTCGAGACCTGGATCCAAAAAGATTTGGTATCAAATGTGTACATTCATGGCAAAAACATAACCAAAATGTTACAATCTCACTTCAGAATGATGCTGTTCAAACAGGGCCTAAGAATCAGTTAAAAAGTTAAGTATCCCAAGTCTCAGGTCTTCAGATTTATTTTTTGTAAAGGTTATAGATCACAGCTGCTTCCTGCTGAGCTTCTACCTCTCAGACTGTAGGGGTCTGGATTTCTACTCTTACCAGCTTCCAGTTCATGAGGGAAGTATTCATTCAAAAAGCAGACAGTAGAAACCACATCTTCTGATCACAGCGGGGATTTTTTTTACCACTTCTGAACAGCAGATCACGTGTATCGAAGCATTATCCACATTTTTTCCTGCCAGTGTTTGCCGAAACCTCTGGCATGAGTTTGGATAAAACTCTATCTCTTGAGCTAACTTCTTTCTGTCTTTGTGTTTTTCTCCTCTCTCCATGTGCCGTTCTTCTGTATTCATCTGATGCAGGACTATGAGCCCACAATTTATCACCCGAAACGTTCCTCTCACAGTCTGCACCAGGATTTCACAGTTCAGTGTGAGAAGATGGATATTCCCTTTCTCTCTTATCTGCCTACAGAGGTCAGTTATGTTCTTACCAAGGGGAGCACTTCAGTCACATTAAAGCAGACCATAAAGTTTGATTGGAATTGCTCTTGTTATGAAGTCATGTTTATTTCACAGGGGCACATATGAAACTCCTAGTCTTCCTTGTGTCTTACACAATCTGTCTTCCAATACAGCTGTAGAGCACTATAACAGATGATGATAATAATAATAATAATTTTTCTCTAAGTTTTATGTATAAACAGTTCCATAATTTGTTTTGAGATGGTTTATGTGATGTTTTATTACATACCAGACTTTTTCCTCTCTGGGGCCATTAACCTTTGAAGTATCTGCTAGTTACTTGGCAACTGCACTCAGTGGTGTAACATGTTAATTAGTAAGAATTTACAGTTTATTATTTCTTATCACCTTTGGACCAAGTTAGGCTAACTGTTTCTTCTTCTCTCCAGCCTTCTTGTTAAAATAAACTAATTATCTTTTGGCTAAAGACAGTTCAATGGAGAAATTCAAGCGAGGGCCAATGAGCCCATCTCAAAGTCTGTAAACATCAGGATTTTTTGTTGCTTTCACTGATTTGTTTTTTAGATTGTTATTTGTGAGTCCATTATTTTGAGAGAGAGGGGTATGTCCTTTGGATAAGCATATGTCAAGTGAAAAAAAAAAACATGTCTACAACCTTTTCGATAGCGTTCGATAAAAATCAGAAGATAGAAGATGTTATGCTTTGGAGTTTATAAAACCGTCTGAGGTTAAATGAATATAATGTGCATGAAATCCTTAAAGAGGTACCCCCTGCCACTATAGGGACCACTGATTTGAGTGTTTTTGTTGATGACATTACCACTTTCCATTCAGTTCAATTCAGTTCAGTTCAAAAATACTTTATTAATCCCAAAGGAAAATAAAATGTTGTTGAAACTCGTTATCCTCGTTTCATTAAGAGATGTTATGGCTGGTGGCTGTAGGCAGGAATAATCTCTTGTAAAGGTCTGTCCCACAGTGGATCCCAAAAAAATGGCTGCAGATGCCATCCGATCCATCCACCCAGACTCAGCTGGCCTCTCGGTTCCCCCGGGCTGCAGGATTGCCTGAATGCCAGGCAGAACTCCTCGGAGAGCAATGGTCACTCCTCCCAGCAGCCTGCCAAGCTCCTCGTCGCTGCAGACAGCCGGCTATAGGTGCCGGGGGACAATCCCAGTCCTTCTGCTGTCAAGAGCCACGTTTCCTGCCAGTTCCAGGATTTTAGTTGTCAGGCACTCGAGCACAGCCAGCAGAGAGACAGGAATGCATCTACAGAGCCTCCTTTTCAACTCATTTGAAATTTGTGACTGTAGTTGAGATATTATTTGAGCTTTGAGATGTTAATCAGCAGCTCCTGGTTGTAAAAACCACCTTGCTGTCATGGTTCCACATTTCTTGAAACCAGTGGTGGGCTAAGTACATGTAACAAAGTCCATGCTCAATAATCCAGGTATACAATCCAACATTTTTCAGTCAGGTCATCTGGACAGTTTCTTTTTTTGTGCTGAAACGTTTCACCTTCAATCTGGAAGACTTCATCAGTCAAGGAAACACACAACAAAACTGATTCTTCTCCCAACAGCTTACTCCAAAGTGGAACAAACCAGTTCTGCTTGTGAGATGGTCTCTTTGGTACGCCCCCTCCTCGATTGCCGGCCCTCTTCCTTGTTGACAGTCTTGTCAAACTGGTTGAAAAGTACATGTACTTCATTACTGTACTTAAGTACATTTTTCATGTATTTGTACTTTACTTTAGAGTTGAACGTTGGTACTTTCAACTTTTACTCCACTACATTTCACATTAAATATCTGTACTTTGTCCTGTGATGGACTTGCAACCTGTCCAGGATGTACCCCGCCCCTCGCACAGTGATTGCTGGACATGGGCACCGGCAACCCCCCGTGACCTAAAATGGAAGAAGCGGGTAAAAAGATAATGGATGGATGGATGGATCTGTACTTTGTACTACACTAACATTTCTATGTGTTGCATTACAAGTTACATTCACGTTGCGTTTTTTTGATTTGTTTGTTAGTTTGAAAGTAACCAATGGTGAGAGGGGAGTTGGTCCATTGAATCACTGCAAAGTGGACAGGTAACGTTAGAGCCACTTTCAAGAAGAACTGGGCCAATGATGTATATTCTAGTATATACGTCATTGAGCTGGGTGCACCCACAGCACCACTAACACATCCAAAATGGATTCCACTGTGGAGAGGCAGCCAGAAGATATGTACCACCAATGGCCTTATTGAAAGATTATTGAAAAATTACTGAAAGACTATATGAAAGTCTATTAAGTGCAGCAGGACAGATTCTCTCTCCCAAAAGAGCCGGACTCAAAAAACTTTGAAAACCAACTTCTTCTGAACTTGAACAAGAAATTTTTTCTGCAATATTAAAATGTGTCACTTTAAGGGATGTTAGGAGACGAGAGATGTCTCCAAATGTCTCGACACTCAGGTCCAAGTTTTGAAAATGGTGTCAGGAAGTTAAAATATTGTTCACTATTGACCCATTACAAGGTTGAATAGACAGTATTTTAACTAGAGCTGATGACAAACTGGAGTTGAAATGATCGGTCCCTATTTCTTTGTTAGGTGTGTCTAATGCCCCTTTTATCAGGCAGACAACTTTTACTGAAATGTGTTTGCTGCAGTTAAAATGACACATTGGTTTTGCTTTGTGTTAAATAAAAACTTTCAAATGTATAATCATTCCTCTTTCTTATTTTGATTAATGACATTTAACTCTGCATGTCATCCCTGAAATTCTGATGCACAGAATCACAAGTCCGAGTGTGAACTGTGTCACAGAGTAAACACAATAAAAACGTATTATCTGCAGCATTGTTCATTAAAATGGCTCAATACTATTAATATATTATAGAAAATATACATACAGTAAGCACACTTAATGATATTGTAGACCATGCATTAGGTAATACATTCAGCAAGTACTTTAACTTTTAATACTTTAAGTAATTTTAAGAGCAAGCACTTATTTACTTTTACTTAAGTAAAAATGTTTATATGGTACTTCTACTTTTACTAGAGTGCATTTTTGTCTGTCTATTTTTACTTAAGTACAATGTTTGAGTACTTTCTCCACCACTGCTTGAAACCATAATGTCACATAATCAGTATTTGTCACCACTTCAAGTTTATAAATATTTGTCTCTTTCTGTTCTAGTACAGAACAACAAATCTATGGCTGGAAACATTTTGGTTGTACAATTAGTGAATGGAAGCCCTTCCCTCCTGCAAACTTAATTGGCAGTATGATGGCTCAGTGGTTAGCGCTGTTGCCTCACAGCAAGAAGGTCCTGGGTTCAATCCCCAGTTGAATCTGTGGTCTTGCTGTGTGGAGTTTGCATGTTACTTTCGTGCTTGTGTGGGTTTTCTCCGGGTACTCCGGTTTCCTCCCACAGAACAAAAACATGCATGTTAGGCTGCCTTCAGGCCCAGGCCTCCCTCGCAATAGAAATCTCTCAATGGGATTTGCCTGGCTAAATAAAGTTTAATAAATTGCGCATCAAATAACTTTTTTATGATATTACAGTCATGCTATGTTGTGCTCTATTCAGGTGCAGCTCATAAACGATGCCTACAACTTAGTGATTGATGCCATGCTGGGTCTCGAGGCAGACAATTCCAACATTAAGGAGCCATATTCCTGTATTCTGGCCACCCTGAAGCAAATCAAGATTCCCATCGTCAGCGTGGATGTGCCCTCAGGTGAGTTTTCAACACAGATTTATTGCTGAATAACAAAGCAAGATAAATGAACTCTTAGAACTTTAGTGGAAAATGAAAAAAGAAAAAAGTTTCCCAAGTGTGAATGTGCATTCACGGAGAATAAATCTTGTACCACAGTTGGCTCAGAGTGAGTTCATCAGAGTCCAAAAACACTATCAGCTAAAAACAGTGCAAGAGGATAAAAAGCTCCCTTGTCTCTTTTATAGGTTGGGATGTAGAAGAACCAAGCCAGGATGGGATCAACCCGGATGTTCTCATCTCTCTCATAGCACCGAAGAAGTGCGCGTCAAACTTCTCTGGGAAGCACTTCTTGGCCGGACGCTTCCTGCCCTACGACATTCAGAAAAAATATGAGCTTAATCTCCCAGACTATGCCGGCACAGACTGTATTATAGAACTGTAACATGTGGAAACACAAGGGCCGGTTGGAGCCTTTTCTTGTTTGTATTTTATAGGTTGTTACTATATTTTAATGTCAACATTTCTGTTGTTTAGATCCAAATGCAATTTAGCCAGATGTGCTGTTGAGCTAGAAGGGTGAAATTTAGAACCACAATGTCTGTTTGAGAAACGGCGCGAGGAGTTTAGTGTCAGTCAACTTGTAAAAGTTGTAGCATTACACTGTTTCCTATCAACTAGAGTCACCAGAGGATAAACGTTTTCTATGATGTCACTGAGGTTAAAAAATAAAAATCTTAAAATTTGTTTCAACTTCTGTTGCTTTTAAGTTTACCTTATTTCTTGAATGTGCTGTTTAATTAACATCATATTGGATAACACAAAAAAATGTACATTCACTTGTGATTTTTTTTTCAATGGTTTTGCCATCCTGTAACTTTGCGTTACTTTTATTGAACTTGTTTGCGTTTATAAACGGCTCAGACGTTTCTCGTTGACCAATAAAAATGTTATAAAAATGCAAAGTCACTGGTGGTTTTTTATTTAAAATGGCACTATTACCAGTCAGTTAAGATGCAGAGTGCTGGACCTGCACTCACAGTACATTTCTTACATTAAAGTCAGTTGTATTACCAAATACTCAATGATTACTAGTAGTTACTGCTGCTTTGAGGATTTTTTATTGTTTTTAACCAAGATGTGTGTACAAGTTCAGACCAAAAACAAAGATAAAATTAGGCTAAAGTTGAAGTATTCCTAAACAATTAATAAATATTACTGGGGCTCTTTTGGAACTTATCTATTTTCAGACTGTTGTACTGCCCTCATGTGGCCATAAGACTGGGCTACAGTAGCAATACAGGTAAACATGATTTTATCACATTTATTATATCTATAACAATGATCATTTAATTTTATTTATTTATTTTTGTTTTCAAAGTTAATCAAAGAGTTAAGGTTTGAGTTTAAAGATGAACATTACCGTTGACATTTATGGTAACTCTTTGCCATAACAGGCTTTGTGCAAACCTTTCTTAATTAAACCCTAGTTGCGATTGAGTCATCTGAATGTGCAATAATCACATCATCATTAATTATGTGTGGAAGAGCACGCATTGTTGCATCTATTTACTTGCTCCTGACTGGAATTAATTATGTAGCAAAAGACGTAAACGTGTGAGATCAGGCCTTTAATCAACTGAAGAAGAAAATGACCTTATTATGGAGCTCAGCCTTGTGGCTTTAGGTGAGAATGACTAAGAATGAGGCTGCTGTGCTGTTAATGAATGAGGTCATGTGTGTTTATACTAAAGGGAGCTTCTTCAGCATACTAACGCACCGATGGCCAGTGTGTGTGCACGTGTGTGTAAGGGGGGGCTGCACATGTGTGTGTGGGTGTGGAAAGTCAGTGAAAAGGAATGTTGATCCGTTTTTCACTCTGTGCTGACAGAAGAAAACTGAAAATGGCTTGTAGAAATAGTGTCCGAGCCTTCAGTGGCTCTGTCTTTCATGCCCGTCCAAACCCTTTCAGGAAACAGTGGTTGGGTCGCCACTGCAGTGTCTTTTGTTCTTTTCATATGACTGGATATTTAATGACCTGTGGAGTCTGTGAAGACCCCAAAACCTGAACAGTCATAACTGGCAGCAGCAACGAATGGAAAAGAAATGTAAGGGGGAAAAAGTTTAACTGCGCTGGTAATAAAGAGTGCAAACTGAATTAATTACGTAGCTCTAATATTGTAATACCACAGTTAGGATATGTGAGAAAATATTCTCAGGATTTTTTTGCTGGGAGAAATATCTGTTTTGGAAAACAAATACTATGACCTTCTCCTCACAATGAGCAAAACATTTTGCCTGATCGTGGACAATCTTTGCAGGTCACTCTTTTAAAGAGTGCAATAGACTTCATTATGTGCGGTAAAGTGTGAGAAGTCCACAATGGTTTTGTGCTTGTAGAAAACATCTGTAGGCTGCTTTATTATTGTTGTAGCAGTGAATCCGAATCCTGGTTGGAGTGCTGTGGCAGCATATCCATGACACGGGATCTGCAAGTACCATCATGGATTGGTCATCCAGCTTCTGAAGCAGCCTGTCCATGCTGGCCTCATAATATGATTCAAGAGGCTGAACCAGGATGGGTCACAGTTAGGACTCATGAGAACATCTTGGCAAGTACTAACAGCTTAGCAGTGCCATGCTAGCCTTCACTCTGAAAAAAGTTTTCCAAATTTGCCACAACCAAAAGTCCTAATCACTGTGTAGCTTATAGAGAACATAGTGGTAGTATTAATTCATTCCAGAGGGACACGTTTCAGATATTACGTTATTCTGTATTGCATATTTTGCATTATTCTTACATTTAGTGTTTTTCAGGTTTTGTAAACACACATACAAATGCCCCCAGGAGAGCACAAATAATACAAATACAGTATATTGCAATGGTAATGTTGATGTTTCATGTTAGAACTTAGAACATTTGTATTCAGTAGAAAAACAACATGCACAAAAGGACATTTTGCTTTGCCAGAGAACACACAGTGGCCTACAAGCAGTAGCTACTTGTTTAAAATGTTAAAAATGTGCATTTTTATGAATTTTCAAAGTCTATCCATTTACTTGACTTGCTTCTCTTTGCTGGGTCATGGGGAATTAGTGCTCATCTCCAGCAGCCACTGTGCGAGAAGTACAGTATGGTCAGGTTGCAAATTCATCACAGAGACACAAAAATACATCAAATTACTCTCTCACCCACACCTAGGAACAATTTTGAGCTACTAATTAATCTAGCATGCATGCTTTTGGTTTGAGTTAGGAAACCAGAGTACCAGGAGAAAACCCTTGCACGAACAAGAAGATAAGATAAAACTTTATTGATCCCACAGGAAATTGTTGTGCCAGAGTTCCAGTAAAAAGGAACATACACAAGGAATCACACAAGATATTAAAAAATAATAATAACAGAGAATATAAAAATACCAGCAATTCAGTTCTTAAACAGGTCAGGTGCAGACAGAAACATTAAAGTGTTTATTGTAGTGCAGGATTATTTTTATTGTCCTGTGTGTAGAAAGGGGGAGGAGTTGAAAAGTTTGATAGCCACAGGGAGGAAGGACTTCCTGTGTTGTTCTGTGGAGCACCTCGGTGGTCTCAGTCTACGAGTGAAGGTGCTGCTGTAAGAGTCCAGTGCGTCATGCAGGGGGTGTGACGTGTTGTTCAGGATCAGGATCAGTTCCTTCAACTTCCTCGGCTCAGACACCTCTGCCAGAGACTGCAGGTCCACTCCCAGGACTGAGCCAGCTCTCTTGATGAGTTTATCGAGTCTGTTGGCATCAGCTTTCTTCACTCTGCTGCCCCAGCACACCACAGCGTAGAAGAATATGCTGGAGACCACCAAGTCATAAAACATCTGCAGAATGGTTCTGCAGATGTTAAAGAACCTGAGTCTCCTCAGAAGAAAATGGCGACTCTGACCTTTCTTGTAGAGGGCGTTGGCGTTAGCTGTCCAGTCCCGTTAACTATCTAGGTGGACCCCAGGTACTTGTAGCAGTCTACAGTGTCCACCTAAGTACCCTTGATGTTGATTGGGTTGGGGCATGCAAACTCTACTCAGAAAGACGGTGATGCTGCAACCACCTCATTGAGAGGTGACAGTTTTAACCACTGGGCTTCCATATAACTCCATTTCCTATACAATATGTCTAAAATATCACAATACAACATGCCTCTGCCTACTGAAGGTGACCCTGTGCTTCTAACACACCATGGGCTGATTGGTGTAAGGACAACAAATCCTTGTAGGCTGTGGGGTGAAGTCTTTGCGGCTCAGGTTTGTTCTGGCGTACACTTTAAATGCTCAACTGGATTTGGATCTCAGGAGTTTGGAGCATCAGTGCCCTAAATTCTTCTGATGTCTTCCTAGATAATTTGATAAGTGATTATGGAATGGCACATTGTCCTGCTAAATAAACCAGCTTCTTTTTTGTTGTTTTCTGTTTTGGCTAATGAACATTTGGATTGTTCATTTTTAAACTGCTTTAAATTTTCAAATTTTGCATGAGAATATGACACAGATGTGACGATTAGTTGGAGAAGATGTCAAACCATAAACAAGTGACTATATATTTATTTATCTATAAAAACAGTGTTACAAAAATAATGCAATTGTCAGAAAACGTACAAGAATTCAAAATGTCCTGAATGCTCAATTTTCCAGGGAGAAAAATCTAACAAAGTTAAGTCAGGTTTTATGAACGGTTTCTTTTCGTTGAAACATTTCATCCAAAAGACTTCATTAGTCCAAGGAGCCACAACAAAGTCAGTCTTAAAAACAGCATCTTCTCAAAGTGGATCAACCAGTTTCATGGTGCTCAGGTGGTTCCTATAGTCCACCCTCTCCCCCACCGCCTGCTCAATCTCTCAAACAAATTTGAGGCAGTCCATTGGTAATAATATTGTTTGTTCCCCTTATTCTACCATCAGATTCTGGATTTATCAAGCTGAAAAAAGGATTCCAGTTTTTCTTGTTAAGCACTTTGAAGCATTTATCATAAAAACAAACAAGGAGTGGTGGCGAGAGAAGTTAGAAGATATGCCTGTGATCGAAAAGTCGCAGGTTCAACTCCCGGTATTGTCAACATCAAAATGTGGGTGGAAAAGGTGGAACACCCACACCTTCATTCACCCCATTCTGGGCCATTGAGCAAGGCCCTTAACCCCTACCATCTGCTCCCTAAAACAGGTCTCTCTTGAAAATGAGTTATCGTGGCTCAATGAGACTACCTGGATAAATAAAGGGTAAATAAAATAAATAAATAAATAAAAAACAGTATGTTCATATACAGTACAATAATTTTCAGTCAAGTCATCTGGACAGTTTCTTTTTTTTTTTTTCTGAAACGTTTCACCTTCCATCCAGAAGGCTTCATCAGTCAAGGAAACACACAACACAAAACTGATTCTTCCCCCAAACAGCTTACTCCAGAGTGGAAAAAACCAGTTATGTTGGTGCGTATATGGTGTCTTTGACACGCCCCCTCCTCTGGAGCCAGCCATCTTACTCGTCGACAGTCATGCCAAACTGGTTCAAAACCAACAAAGTCTATACTCAATAATCCAGGTATACAATCCAACTATTTTCAGTCAGGTCATCTGGACAGTTTCTTTTTTTTTTTTTCTGAAATGTTTCACCTTCCATCCTTTAGGCTTCATCAGTCAAGGAAACACACAACACAAAACTGATTTTTCCCCCAAACAGACTGATGAAGCCTTCCGGATGGAAGGTGAAACATTTAAAAAAAAAAAAAAAAAAAAAAAATAAAAAAAACTGTCCAAATGACCTGACTGAAAATTGTTGGATTACATACCTGGATTATTGAGCATGGGCTTTTTTAGTATGTTCATAAGTTGTTGTTTGACTTGGTTTTAATGCTGAGCCAAGAGATATTTATAAAAGAGCTGAACTTATTTTTTTTTTTTTTGTTTTGTTTTAATTTCCATCACTTTTTACTTGAAGCACACATGCTGAAAATAAATCCAAGTACATTGCACCTCATAAGCACATCTCTGCTCTGAGGACATTTCCTGAATGGCATACCATATGACGCCACTTCCACTTCTTTTGGCAGACAGTTACCCCTGCAATCAGCAGCTGTTAAAAAAAGGTACAAAACTGAACCAGAACCAGCTGGTGCCAATACCCAGCAGTTACTGTTTGAGAGGCGGGTATATCATGGACAGGTCTCCAGTCCATCACAGGGACACATAGAGACAAACGAGACAAACAACCATTCACTCTCTCACCTAGAGACAATTTAGAGTTACCAGTTAGTCTAACATGCATATCCTTAGAAAACCCACGCATGCACATGCAAACTCCACCCAGAAAGGTCCCTGGTCGGGATTCAAATAGGCACATTTTTTGCTGAGAGGCAGCAGCTCAACCCACTATGCCACCGTGCCAAATGTGCTGAGTCATTATTTATTATGTCATTATCAGCATGGTGTTGAACACAAAAGCAGACAGATACAGGAGACTTGAAAACAAATAAAGAAAAAAATGATTATTTTTTTATGTACAGAACAAATAGCTGAGGTGGCAGCAAAACTTACCAGTGTACAGGAAAACACGAGGAACAGAACATAACAGGCTGTGGGAAGCACATTCTATGGACCATGTGAAAACAAAGAGACGCTGAACTTAAAGGGATGCTAACAAGACACAATGACGAACATTTGGGAAAGACAATGAGGAACAGGTGAGAGTGGCAAGAGAAACATGAGGAGAGACACACTGGGAAAACTGGAAACAGGAAAAACAGACTCAGAGAACTACAGTACATAAAAAGAATAACAAATAGACACAGACATCATAAAACGTGCACATATGACATATTCTTATTGAGAATCTACAGCTTGGAACTTGGAACAAAAAAAGTTGGAGCAAAAACATCAAAGTCAGTGGTGATTTTAGCCTCTTGTTGGAGGTGCTCAAGCACCCCTAAATTTTAACTCAGCACCCCTGAAAAATAAAGTAAAAAACAACAATAAAAAAATATGGTTTTTTTTTGGGGGGGGGGGGGGGGGGGGGGGGGCTCTGGGTTTGGGTTCTGTTTATTGCATGTATGATTCAATGCAACAAAATAAACACATTTAAAAGGTAACAGATCGTTGTAATACTTGGTTTATTTACATAATGACTTTAATTGCTGGATGTTCAGCCCCTGAGCTGCTGGTTTTCAGTAACTGTGCCCCCCTGAGCAGTGTAGTTGAATAGTCCTGCTTTAGAGGGTGGAACAGAGTTTATTTTATTTCCAAAACCTAAACAAAGTCTTGACAAATGTAAAAGATGATAAAGTCCTGCGGCTGACCTCATGAAGCTGAATACAACGGTGATAAACGGGAAGTATCACATGTTCATCTGTACGAAGGTAATTTCAAGTAAATCCTCTATTTTCTGTCATAATTACATTGCACAGTATGCTTAATAGTTAAATTAAAGGTTGGTGCTTAAAGCTTGTTGTGCTTTGTTTAGTATGTTTTACTGTATTTGTAGATGTATGTTGCAATTTCTGGTTGCACAAGTTTAGTTTTTATTTGTTATGATCAGTTAACACTAAAATGATTTTGTACAAAGCGTTTATTATGTTGTGTAATGTAAAGAAGAGCGCTAAGTCTTATCTAGTGCGTCTGTATTGCAAGCCACTAACTTAGCGCTATACTTCTTGTTGTCTGAGCTCTCTGAAATAGTTATTAAATCAAGTGTTTACTTTGTACTTCCATCCATCCGTCCATTATCTTCTGCTTATTCCGAAGTCGGGTTGTGGGGGCAGCAGCTTGAGCAGGGAGGCCAGACATCTCTTTCCACAGTCACCTCTTCCAGCTCTTCTGGGAGGACTCCAAGGTGTTCCCAGGCCAACGGAGAGACATAGTCTCTCCAGTGTGTCCTGGGTCTTCCCTGGGGTCTCCTCCCAGTCGGACATGTCCGAAGAACCTGCCTAGGGAGATGCCCAGGAAGCATCTTTACCAGATGCCAGAACCACCTCAACTGGCTCCTCAAGACTTGTTTACTTGTGTAGGTAAATGTAGATATTTAACCTAGATATTAAAAAAAAAAAAAAAATTAAATACACCAGAATGCAGGGAATGGCATCTACTTTATTCAAAATTTACATTGTTCAAGCCAAAAGCTGTTGTCAAGCACTGGGGGCTAAGCACCCCTGAAGGGCTGATTCTAGAATAGCCCCTGGTTAAAGTAAAGATAAAATAATTTTTTTGTACATTTTAAATGTACAAGAAATTTAGTACCAAAAACAGCACACAGAAGCCATATTTGAGATTTAAAGAGGAAAGCAAACCTGCACACCTGTTCTGTGAAAATTGATTACTACATTGTTGCACAGTAGACTTGAAATAACACACAAAAAATGCCAATTATAAACAAATGAATAAAAAGTGCCATAAAGAAGTCATAAACTATGAAGAAAAGCTTGGAAGAAAAGGAAAACAACTTTTATTTCCAGTAACCAAAACACATTCTTGGGTGTTTTTCTCCTCTCTACCCCTACCAGGCCCTCACCTTTTTTTGGACCATGATATGGGGGGGACCCAGATGTTACATTTCACTGGCCAATGGTGAGGAGAGAGGGGCTGGATTGGTGTCGACTCCTGATACCCCTTCTTTTAAAAAGCTCCTGTGTCTAACTCAGCTCCTTAACTCAAATGAGGAGGAGACACAGGCGAGTCTCTCCAGCAGCATCACTCTCACCTGAAGAACTGAAGCAGCTCCAGCTCAGCTGATGAGCCAGCTGTCCGCTTAGTCTAAAGTTTTTATCAACGCGGAAAATAATCAGAGAAAAAATAAACTGTCAGGACAATGATGGAATTAACCAAACTGGCCCTTCTGCTGTCTTTCCTGGCCTCAGCGACTTTGTGTCAAGGTAAGTCAAATTTTTGTGATTGAGCTTACAATTATTTGTAGAAAAATAACACAAAAATTAGTTTTAACTGTTATTTAACACACAAAATGCAAACCCTGAGATGTTTATGACGTCTCCAAACTGCTTCTGCCTGTGTAGTGCACCAGACAAACTGTAGAGTTTTCCAAATGAATGTCATTTCCCTGAGGAAGTAATGGCAGGATAGCATGAGATAAATGTCTGGAGGTGAGTTCATGTGTTAGGACCAGTGGTGCGTGTGTGTTTGGATTTCTCATACAGTGAATCTGTCCAACAGATTCACATCAAAGCAACAAAATTAAACACATTTAAAGTAATGAATTATTTGGATTTAGTTTAGAGCTGCACAAAATGGACAAAAATAAAAATCTAAAATACTGCCGGTGCATTTTGTGATATTTGGTTCAGAAAAACACACTTTTTTTTCTCCGTCCTTTGTTTTTCTTTCATTTCTTCTTGTTCATTTTAACCTTCATCTTCTTTATTGTCTATAGATGTTTTGGCCAGTGGGGGTCCATTTAATCTCTAGATATATTGCTGATATTCAAAGTCATTTTTGCAAAAATTGATAATGCAGACATTGAAATCCCAGCGGCAATACACTGTTGCCATACTGTGCAGCCCTAATTTAGTTACAAATATGTAGTTATAAAAAAATATTTGGGAAAAGTAATTCAATTAATTTTTTTTAAGTTGGAGAACTTTAGTTGACAGTCAACCTCATTAGTTCCCAATGGTCCATGTAAAGACACCAGCCACGATGATTAACAACATGTGAGGACTGATGAGGACGGCATGGAAACTCTCCTTGTGGTTTTGTTTAACCTCAAAAGAGCTTCTGCTGATGACTAAAAAAAAAAAAAAAAATAGTCACCAGCGGTTTTTGTGGCTCAGTCTTTCTTGTCATAATCAGAATTTGTACTCTAATAAAACAGAAGATGCTTGAAATCCCTCTACTTCTTTCACTCAGACCCAGAGCTCTATCAGCTGTACATTTTCTGCACATTTGTTCAACTGATCTCAGTTTTATTTACTGCTTAAACAGTCAGACAGAGACACACACGTTTCTATCACACTACAAGCTCTTCTAACAAAAATTGGACTCATAAACTTTTGACGGTGCTGTCTGAGTGACAACAGAAATTTCCTTCAGCGTGTCACTTTCTGCTCTTTTTGCATCTGCTTCACATTAATCCTTTTTCTTTCTTCAAGCAAAAGAAGCTGGCAGTTCATGAAGGCAATCGAGTGTGAATAGACCTTAATAGTCTCCATATCTTGTTGAGCTTTGAGGTCTCCAAGTCGTAAACGACTGGCAGAGGCTGGATGCTGTTTTTCTGATGAGTAAATCACAGGAAAAAGACAACGGTAAAAGAACATTTATTCATATTTATTAAGACCGAGCTGAACAGTTGGACCCTAAAACAGACTGTAAAATTTAACGTTTTTCACTTCATGCTCCTTTAGCCATACATTCACATTCACAAGGTGGTGCGTTGTAACCTTTCTTTACTCTCAAGTACTGAGCAGTTTCCAAAGGTTTAAACCCAGTCACCTTAACAAGGTGAAATAATTACACATGGAACGGTCCATGTTTCCACCTGCAGGCTTTGTGCTGGACTAAATGAAAAAACAGAATAAAAATGGGGATTATAAAGCACAGATGAAATTACTTTACCAGTTTCCTTCTGTCTTTTTGATTTTTGCTACCCCCCCCCCCCCCCACACACACACACACACACAAACACCGCCGCCTTTAATCCTACAAAAATGACTGAGCGGAATGTCTCCATCTGTCTGTTTGTCTTCATCTGTTCGCCTTTTGTTTCTAATCTGTCTCCTTCAGGTATTTCTCACAAATACTTTCCCCACCGTCCCCCCCCCATTCTTTCCCTCACACCATTAATTTATCTTCTTCACCTTTATTTCTCTGTCTTACTCCATCAAACCTCCGTCCCGGCTTTGTTCTCTGTCACTCTCTCTACACACCTCAAACCTCACAGATTTACGAGCTAGTTTTTTTTTTCTATTAAAAGGTGTCAGCTGTTGCTGAATGCCCACAGTGTTAGAGGAACGCCACAGTATTACGACCTCTTCGCATGAATCTTCCAGCTTTTCCGTCTCTTTCTCTACACATAATTTCAGTCAGACACCGGGGTCTATTTCTCCAGATGCTGACCACTGTCTGTTCCAAGAACAGAGCAGTTGGGCCAGATGACCTAAATGACTGAGACAGGGACCTCAATCAAATGGTCAAAGGAAAATGCTCTACCAGTAATTCCCATTAACGACAAACTCAAGTCCATATTATATATTTTTTTGCTTTTCTGTTTTTTGTGTATTTATGCATTGACACATTGGCCAAGAGTATATTTATGAATCAGTTGCTTTAATTTCAGCTAGTTCTATGCTTTTGACTCTGTGCATGCAGGTGTAGATGCCGGACCCCGAGATATCAAAGGTGAACATTCAACCCTCACCCGAGAACTAACCCTAAGTACTTTAGGAACACAAATCATTTGTCATACCTTTACAAATCCTTACATCATATGGTTAATCTGCATCGTTAGCAAGTCTCACAGACGACACTGTTCATTTTTAGATAGCAGCAGATGTTTTGGAGCTCATGCAGATTGTGGTGTGAAAATAGATTAAAAAACTAAATCTGAGCAAAATGCATCCTCTTTTGTTATCACACTTACATCTTAGCCAAGAAGCAAACAAAAATCATCTAAAAAAACCTTAAATGGATTCCTTTTGATGAAATTCGCTTTGCTAAAACTGCCTTGTTACAACTGAACAGTTTTAATAATAATAATAATAATAATTAATTTAATTTGTAACACACTTTTCATTAGCACAAATCTCAAAGTGCTACAAAGTGCAGTTTTCATTTGATATTATTTCTATCTTCACATGTGATTCTCGACCTGCCATTGTGTATCTGTTCCTCTAAAAACCCAGCCGGTCGAAGCAGATGGCCGTTTGTCCTGAGCCTGGTTCTGCTAAAGGTTTCTTCCTCATGAGGGAGTTTTGTCGCCTTCATGCTTGCTCAAGATGAGAGTTCTGCGATGGAATCAAACTCAAAGCAGTCTGCTCCTCAGATAAATGTTATTAACTTACTTTTTATATGTTTCTGTTCAGTGCCCTGAGACGACTTCTGTTGTGACTTGGTGCTGTATGAATAAACTGAATTGAACTGAATTTAAAAGGTATTTAAACAAATACTTTGAGTGATCAGTTGGTGCTTTGACTATGTGATGAGAATGAGTCTCAGTTACTACTACCGTTAAGCTACATCAAGTTTTAGCTCATTATCTGGGAAATTGACCAAGTTATAGCCATTTTTGTGTTTTGCCACGTCGATCATCTATGATGACCATCTAGATTCAGAGTAACTCCAAAAGCTAAGTAGTAATGGAAGTACATCCAAAAACGACTTTCCGAAAGTTTCATTAAAATCCACCCACTTGGTAATGTGTTGCACAGAAAACTACATGATGTGAAACTTTCATGGTGGCAGGCAATAATTAAACAAATGTGTCAACACAATCAAATCAATCACAAGATTATTAAAAACTCATTCTCAAATCAGTTATGAAAAACTGTGTTTTTCTAAATATAACTGAGTTATCTTTAAACTCCTTGCTCCAGTATAGGTTTCAAACACGGAAATAGATGTTTATTCACATCTTCTACTTTATCTAAAGATCTGGAATAATATAAGCAGGATCCAGACCTTAAGCCTTGTTCGCCTGCCAACATACATCTGGCACAACCATATGTCCCCTAACATGAGCACAAGCCCTTCGAGTGCAATTTCATAGCCTCCTTCATTTTCCTGTCATTCCTCCTCTCTGCAGCTTTTTTATTAGTGTCTGGCAAAGACAGACAGGCTCCCTGTTGGAAAGAGAATGAGAGCAAAGCTGTCCTTTGTAAAAGCCATCTATGCTTGTTAATATAAAATTTGTCCTTGTGCAGCTGAGCTGTAATCACAACTGTTGCATTTAAAAAGGAATCACTGTGACGTGGATTGTTGCAGCTAAATGAGACAAACAGCTGTCACATCACACTGTGGGTTAGCATGGCCACAACGCAGAGCTCACGTGATTGAGTTGTAATTGGAACAGACAATTGCTGGTGTTTAGGAAGCTGTAAGTAAAGACTGGTAAGCAGGTTTATCTTGATGTTGTGATCAGGTTGAGACTTTATAAATAAATGGCATTCTGAAATTACTATTGTCCTAATAGGAAAAAAATCCCACAAACATTCTCTAATCCAAAGTCATCTCACATGAACCCCATTGTATACCTCTGTGTGAAGTCATACAAGTGATTTGTTGTAGTTTTGGAAAGAGTGTTATAAACACTGTGCTCCCAATAGTCCTATCAAATGCTTATATGAATCATCTGAAGCATGAGAAATACAAAATAAAATTCAAGTGCTGTTGAAGAAAATTCTGTCCTCAAAGAGTATTCAAAGAGAACCCACAAAGCAGCTATGAACGAGCGCAAACAAGATTTATTGTACCACTGCGGCTTTGCAGAGTGAAATCAAACTATAAAAAGGAAATCATGAGTTCGAACTTTGCTCGCTTTGGTGTGAAAAACACGTGTTACTTGCTTCTTGATGAGGTGGATTTAGTCCCAGTTGCATGAAGCAATAAAATCCTTCAGCCTTTAAAATTATAGTGTTAATATGCCAATCAAATGCTCTGCTAGTTAATGTGCCTCTCACAACTCAGGTCACTACAACATTTAAGTTCATGCTGAGTTTCTTCTTTTTTTAGATTTTAAAATCTTGTGAGATACAACAATTAGTTTTGTTTTTGATTTTGACTGAGACATCTTGAAATAATAACCAGGAGCCGAAGGCTGTGCTGTACGTTTGCTTGGATTTTCTGTGGGAGAGAGGGAGAAACAATGTTATGAAACAGGAGCAGGGAAAAAAGTGCCTTAGAGGTTCTTGGAAACTGATCAGTGCACCCCACAGTCAAGCAGGTCATTATTGGCAACAAGTCTGGATTTCAAAGTCAATTAGGCAACAAAAGACTTGTTTACGTGTTCTAATCTACAGTCTCAAAGGGGAAATGAACCGTTCAGCTAAGAAAAACTTGGAAAATTTTAAGACGTTGAGCAAAAAAGATAAAGCGTTACTTTGGCTTTAAAACAGACAGACAAATAATCACAAAAAGGAGAATATTGGAAAAACTATTTGATTCTAGAAAACTAAATTTACAGGCAGAAGAAACATCTGCTAAACACATCAGCGAGAAACTATTTGATTGTGGTTCTCAGTGCATAAAAGACACAAAGCCAGCATGGAAACCTTGGAATGTATCTTTTTTCAAGCACATTGACAATAAAAAGAGCAACAGTGATGGTCGACTGCCTGTGAATGTCACCATAAAATGCTCTTTAGGCATTTTAAGATGGCCATTCTTTGTTCTGTTGAGTTACTTTGCTTCTTTTGCTAAATTTATCAATAAATGTTAATAAACCTTTAAATGGGTAAAAGGAAAAGAGCTGGCTTGACAGTAAAGGCTCAAAGTGACCGTAAAACCAGGAGGGACTGTGATCAATACTGGTCTTTGTACTGGGATCCTCTGCTCTTAAACTCAGCAGTGCTTGTGCCTATAACCCACAGACACACACATACATGCACACACATGCACTCGCACAAATAGGCCTACTTTGGTCCCATAAGCAACCTTTTTTTCTGTCATAAACATGTCATTTACTGTTTTTTTCCACACAGCCTGAATGGAACTTAAGAGATGAAATGTCAAGCAAACAACTGATGTATTTCGAAACATAAAAAATTAGGAGTGGAGGAAAATTACACATCAAACGAGGAGGCGAAAATGTCACTGTGAACGTTTAATAAATCAAAAAGGGAAAATACAATGGAAGAAGTCGTGTTTAGTGTTTTTCTCTTTTTATACGCTTGCCTTGCCTTCACCTTATTCTTACAGTGCAATGCCAGAATGATACAAGCAAGCAATATTTGTGTAAAACACATTTTTATTACTGATTAATAAAATGTTATTTAATGGGAAAATAGCCTTAAATGACAGTGTATGTTTGTGTGTGTGTGTGTGTGTATGTGCATGATAATGCAAGCTGAATTAAACTATTAGATGGAAACAGAAGCAAGATCAAAGAAGATGTGAAAAAGAAACCAAAACAAAAAAGAAACAGAGCAAGTCGAATGACTCAGAAATAAAAAAGGGAGTCGTACATAAAATGCTTGTTTTTGTGCCACGTTGGTGACTGTTTCAAATACATCATAATATTAAATAAGTTTGTGACTTTCTAAAGTAAAAGTATTGGAGGCCCTATAAAAGAATGCAACTCTTGTGCACATGCAAAAGCACATGCTACTTTTTCAACTTGAAAAACAAATAAATGTGTTCAGATGTGTGTACACACATACAGTAGATGAACATATGCAGCTTTGCATTTTGAACTGTTCCCCTTATGTCAAGATGTAGTAAAATTATTGTGCATAAAACACCCACATCCAGTAAACCAAAAGTACCAAATAATTTATTGGTTTATACAGTAACCACTTGAATGAGGCTTCCTAAAAAATCAAATCCAAAGTTGATAGATTTAATGTAAACCAAATTTCCAAAAATATATTGTTTTTCATAAAATAAAGTGTTTAATTGTTTTCTGTGTGCAGCATCTATAAGGAGCAGGAATCTGTCAGACAGAAGCAAACGAGTGGCTTTTCAGACATTCACAGACTCACAGACAGGTAATCCTTCAGACCATTTCTATAAAAACAGCTTTTACACAAAGCTCAGCATGTGATGGGAAGGAGCATGTTGGAGACCGTGTTGTAAAAATAACTCTTGGTTACATCAGCTGGATGTACTCACTTGGTGGGTTAAAAGTCATCATGAAAAGCTGTAGCAGTATGAACTGTAACAGGTAAGATAACACTAACGCAACCCTTAGTTTAAAAAAAAAAGTTTTTTTAACTCAACTTTTCATATAAATGCATACAAGTGTATATGAGACTGTTATGGATTTCTAAATATCCTTGGTTACATTGCAAATAAAAAAAAGTCTGAGTCAGTTAGCATACTGATGAAAATGTCTGCTACCTCTGTGACAGACTTTGAATTAAGCAGACGATAATGAATGGAAGGATGGATGGATAGATGTATGTATGTATGTATGTATGTATGTATGTATGTATGTATGTATGTATGTATGTATGTATGTATGTATGTATGTATGTATGTATGTATGTATGTATG